GGGTGGCGGTGGTGGCGGTATAGGCAGATATCGCTGGTTCACGCTCTGGGGGGCGGAGGGGGTAGCAGGGAGTGGGGGAGGGTGTCTGGGGGAGACAAAGGGGGTGGGTAGGAGGTGGGAATGGAGAACCCGCTTTCATAATTTGAATAATGTATGCCGCTAGCCGGCAGACAGCAGAGGCAGCGCGCACACACACACACACACGCACGTACACACTCACACACACGCGCGTACACACACGCGCGTACTTAAGCATGCACACACACACGCGCTCACACGCACGTACATAGACACACGCACACAGACGCACACGCACAGACGCAGACGCACACGCACAGACGCACACACACATCGCCTTAACAGACCGATGATGGCAGTGGTGGTGGTGATGGCGGTGGTGTCGGCGGTGACGGTGGTTGCGATAGCGGTGGTTGTGGTGATTGCGGTGGTCGGCGGCGGCGGCGGTGGTTTATGGTGGCTGTAGAAGTGGCGGTGGTGTTGATGATGGCAGTGGCGGTAGTGGTGGTGGTGTTGGCGTTGGTGGTGTCGGTGCAGCTGGCGCCACTGGGCGGGAGGCCGGTGGCGTGATGGGGCGGCTCCGAGCCTCATGAATCGAGGAATGAAAACAGACCGGGTTGGAAGAGGTCACGTGCACGTTATTTCTCCTTTTAACAAAACGTAGTACAATGCGTAAGCGGCACGACACACGCTATATTTATACACACACACACGACACACACAATATATATAATAGAAATGCATTCACGGGAAGATGAAGATGAAGAGGAAATCTCAACTGGCCAGGTTGACCCCCCCTTGGGCCGTTTCAAGGTCCGACGTCTGAACTTGCCGACCGGTCGGGTTTCGCTCTTTTCGGTGCTCATCGGCGAGTCGCGGACGTCGGCGTGGGTCGCCGAGAACAACATCGATCCGCTGCTGGGTGATGATTTCCCCCGTAGAATTATTCTCGTCGTTATCAAGAGCCATGATGCATTTACTGCTTCGTTGAAGGTCTTTCCATCGAGATATACCCGTGCAGCATCATCATCATCACCATGAACCACGATATATCCACTGCTGGATGGAAGTCTCCCCATACAGTTACACCGATCATCACCGACAGAGATGACCGCTCTCGGCTGCTGGATGAAAATTTCCCCGCGCAGTTACACTCTCGCCCATCAACACGGGCTGTGATCGATCCGCTGCTGGATGACCGGTTGCGCGGCGGCAACGCGAGCCGATGTAACCGACGCCCACGCGTACGCAGCGAACGTCGTTCCCCGACGCTCGTTTGGCCGTCGACGCCGCTTCGACGTTGGGACCCGGCACGGTGCGGAGTCGCGTCACGGCGCTCGGAACTTGCCCGGCGGTGCAGCCGGCGCTTAGCGACGCGCCGATCGCGACCGTGTCGGCTCGTTCACCGGTAAAGTTGCCGAACAGTTCGCACGAATTGTTAAATTATTAAGCGATATATTTCTAAAGTAAAAATATCTAAAATAATTGTTGAAATATTCTTAGGTTTTTTCGGTAAAGTCACGTAGGTAAAAAATTTAAATTAATAAAAGACGGAAGCTTGTGTTGCCTCCGAAACGTCGTGATTTTTATTTTATTTTCATTTTATTTTACTTTTATTAATTTTAATTTAATTTTTTACCTACGTGACTTTACCAAAAAAACCTAAGAATATGAATCCTTGCAGTTACGAAAGCTTCAAATCTAGAATTGTTGAAATTTGGACTTATAAATGAACCCGATGACGGATGACCGTGCGAGTTTCTTTTTGTTTAACCAGGCGGGCGAGTTCAAGAGGCCAGGAGAGAGACGTTTAGCATGGTCGGATACGTACTGTGCGAAAGAAGTTCAACGCACGTGCACACGCGCGTGCTCACTGGGACTCGTTGCACGGCGATGTTGATTCTAAATGCGAAGGCAAAAAGCGGAGGACCCGGAGAAAAATCCACGCGACCACTCTAAATATACAGCAGCAGGCGTCAGGGTTTGGATCGAACCCACGACCTTCTGCGTAGCAGGCGAGGTAGTTAACATCTCGCCACCACGGTGCCTGACGAACACGATTTGTGTTAGTCAGGCTCACATGCCCCCTACTCTTAGGTTTTTTCGGTAAAGTCACGTAGGTAAAAATAAATAAAAATAAATAATAAAATAAAATAATAGAAATAATAATAGAAATAAAATGATAAATCAGTGATTTATAATTGTATTTCTATTATTATTTCTATTTTATTTTTATTATTTATTTTTTACCTACGTGATTTTACCAAAAAAACCTAAGAGTATGAATCCTTGCAAGTCACGAAATCTTCAAATCTAGAATCACATGCCCGTGTGGCTGCATTGTGACTTTGCTATTGGTACGATGGGAAAGGGGTGTTCAGTTGATTGTAAACGCAGAGATCAAGGAATGTAACGGCGGACTGAGGTCGTTCGTATCCCCGTGTCCAGTCTTCTGTACTTAGGATGATTTACAAATTCGTTTTTGAATTTGACTTAATAATTTACGTTCCTACGTCGGCAGCAGCAGGAGCAACAACAGCAACAACGCGCTCACGCTCGCTACGTTTTACATAAAAAATAAATATCCCAACGAGACTGGACTTCGCGATTGAACGTAGTGGTGGTAGATTAACGCGCATTGCACTACCCCCCACAACTCCGCTCGCCGAATGCTTTTCGAACGACCGTACGCGAGTTTGCGAAAATTTCCCAAACCGCCAATTTGGATTCCCGTGCGCGGTAAATCGTCGACGCGGCCGCGGCCGGCACACCGACGGTGCCGATCGACGCTCGCGACGGCGGCGGCGAGGTCACGAAGGATTCACCCCCCTACTGGACATCTGTGGGAAAAAAGAGCTTCATAGCTCATCGGATTCCTCCGGTATGAACTAATATTCCGACTCCGACGCTTGATCGTCGTCGCAATCGTCTTACTTTAAACAAAATAAAATCACGATTTTGGAAGTTGCCGCTCTTTTGCGCGAAAAATCCGGTGGGGGAGGGGGGTGGGTTTGTGTGTCCATTTCTGGGTTAAAAAGAGCGGTACGTGGAGGAAAATATTAATTAATTAATTTCTGCATTAAAAAGAGTGGTACGTGGAGGAAAATATTAATTAATGAAATATGGAAAAAAAAATGACATCTTTTTAAATTCCAATGATATTCGTTTTGCGAGATTGGGCATCGTTACGCGGCTGCGAATTGTTGCCGTTGCGTAAATAAAAACGTCGGGGGACGTGTTTATACGCGAACGGTGACTAAAAGTTCCGTCTGATAAATGTTTTTAATAATGTGCTACGTGTGTATGCGTGCGCCCGTGTGCGTATGTGTGTGCGTGCGTGCGTGTGCCTGTGTGCAGGTGTACGTGCGTACGTGCTTACGTGTGTGCATGCGTGCGTGTGTGCATGCGTGCGTGTGTGCGTGTGCAGGGGCGAGCGGCAGTGTAGCGGTCAGCACGCTGCACTACAAACTCGGCAAAGACTCGAGTTCGATTCCCGCTCACGCCCACCAACACCGGGCCTCCCCTAGCTCGACTCAGTCTCAAATGAGTTACCTGGTGCGTTGCTTAAACATCGCCACTGGGGAGACAAAGGCGGCCGGGCGTGGTGCTGGCCACCCACCCCCTCTGCCGTGCCACCCATCACAGGTGCTGCTCGCTAACAGCACTTGCCCCAACGGTCTGTTAAAGGCTATACGGGGGATCTTTGTCTTTGTGTGTGTGTGTGTGTGGAATTGCCTGGAATAACCGTACGGAGTCGGTACGACCGCCGTGCTGGCGAAGAATTTACGCTCCACGATCTCCTTGTTTGTGCGAACGCTTCCCATCGCCGTCTGACCGCTAGCACCGTAGCTAAAAAGCACGCAAACCACGTGAATAAAAAGCAACGGCAAACCACCCCCCCCCCCCCCCCGACAATGATCCCGCACAAAACCCGACGGTGAGCGAGAAACGTTGAAAGCAAGCCAAGCACAAAAACGAAAAGCTGGTGAAAAAATATTCCAAGGGAACGTTCACGAAAAATTTACATAATTTTTTTTTTATCGCAGCACCCCCTCCTCCCCCGCCCTCCCGAAAACCTGGCGGTATAATCCACTCACGGGCGCAACGGGGAAAGGGGCGGGGGTGGGTGGGGGGGGGGTCGCACGCGCACGCTCAGATATCGCGTCGCACGCCTTTAATTAAAAATAAATAATGCCACGACGGCTTCTGTGATACGACGATGGAGATCGAGAAGAGGTAGAGGGGGGGGGGAGGCGGACAGGACGCGAGGAAATCTACAAACTGCGGTAATTGTGCGAGCGGCGTTGGCCCGGGCAGAATTTGCGCGCCGCGCTGCCGCCTAACGATAACGAGAGAGGCACGACAGAAAATGGCCTCCGAGCGTTTAATATTCATGTTGTCGGAGCGAGCTTGGGGGGGGGGGGGGGGGGGGGGCGCGTGAGCGGTGAGCGTGCGGGAGAGTGTGCGGGACAGAGAGAGGGACAGCGATCGGTGAGCGAGTGGGACTGTGAGCGGAAGAGCGAGAGGGACAGTGAGCGGGACAGCGAGAGAGACAGCGAGCAGGACAGCGCACAGGACAGCGAGCAGGACAGCGCGCAGGACAGCGAGCGAGACAGCGAGCGGGACAGCGAGCGAGACAGCGAGCGGGACAGCGAGCAGGACAGCAAGCAGGACAGCAAGCGGGACAGCGAGCGGGACAGTGAGCGGGACAGCGAGCGGGACAGCGCGCAGGACAGCAAGCGGGACAGCGAGCGGGACAGCGAGCGGGACAGCGAGCGGTACAGCGCGCAGGACAGCGAGCGGGACAGCGAGCGGGACAGCAAGCGGGACAGCGGGCAGGAGAGCGAGTGGGCGGTACGAGCGACGACCGAGGTGTGCGCCAGTACCTCCCCATCCGCTCCCCACCCCCCTTCTCCCCAGCCTCAACGGCACCATCGCTCTGATGCCCCCCCCTTCCCCCAACCCCCCCCCCCCCCACTCACCGCGTCGCCGTCGCCACTCCTGAACCCCACCCCTCGCTCGCTTCTTCTTTCTTCTTCTTCATCGTCGTCGTCGTCGTCGTCGTCGTGATCGTCGCCATCCTTGGCACGGCGTTCGCTCGATCGTCTCCGCGATCTTCCTCCCGCTGTCTGCGACCTCCTCCTCTGCGCGCAGGAGCTGTAAAAAAAAAATGTAAAAAATGTTTAAATTAATATCAAGAGCCGCTAAAATGTTTTTTTTGCCATGCGATACACGCGCAGGAGCCACGACCGCGTTATGGTACTTGACTGCTCACGGCGAGCGAATTATGCGGGGAATGTAAGCAATATAATCATCCGATCGAAGCGGGATCGCGAATCTTGGAATTCTACTAAAGCATCGGTGTGACCCAAGCGCCACCCCCACCCACCACCGCCACTACCCTTTATTCAATCTTTGTTACAAAAAATTCAACAGCCCGAACAAAACTGACGGCAGTTTAGAGGCATTCCAGGAGGTGGAAATGTTAACTTCTGCCAGTAAGCGATGCTATAGCCATGAAAAAAATCGTAAACCGTAAAAAAAAAAAAAAATACTTTTTTGTTTTTTTTACAAATCGCAATTTCCTCCGGTTCTTTCTGAATCGGCGAACGCAACTCTCTCGGCCTTTTCGCCAATTTGTCGACGCGATACGGCTACGGCCGCTGCGCGAAAACCCCTGGAAAATAAAATAAAAACAGCAACAACGACGCACGCTGCCGACAACGACGGCCAACGTAGCCCCAACGCACGCGCGCACACACGGGATACAAATAAAAAAATAATAAATGTCAAAAACGTTATAGAGTAAAAAAAAAAATCCACGAGCGAGAAAATATTTTTCTAAATAACCACGATCATTAAAATATGCATGTGGTGTTGCGCATCAGAGCGACTTTCAAAAAAATCACAGTGACGGGTTTAAGCCACGTACGCGCGCACACACGCAGATGTACACACACACAGACATACACACACGTGCAGACGTATACACACAGACGCACACACAAATACAGACGCGCACAGATGTACACACGTACACACACATACAGACGCGCACAGATGCGCACAGACGCGCACCGAAGTACACACACACATGCAGACGTGCACAGATGTACAGTCGTACACAAAACAGAGACAAAGATCCCCCGCATAGCCTTAACAGACCGTTGGGGTAAGTGCTGTTAGCGAGCACCTATGAAGGCGGACACGGCACACGAGGGTCTGACCCAGGACAGGCCCACAATTGGTGCAAATATTCACCACTGCTCATTGGCCGTCAGCCGGAATCCAACTCGGGTAGCCGGATTCGTAGCACGACGCGCGAACCAATGGGCCACCGCTCCTCATGCACGCAAACACACACAGACATGCAGACGCCCACACACACACACACGTACACAGCACACGCAAGGCGCCTAACTTAACAGTTTCATTTGTTTAATTATTCCTGGATACCGGAATTGAGGGCAACAAGAAACACCAAGCAAAACGCCGTCTCGTTTACGCGGAGTTTTCGCGACGCCTGCATCTCCACCACGGTCCCCATACCCCCCCCTCCACCTCCCCTTCTCGTCGTCAACAACCCCCTGGGGGCTCGCGTGGATCACGGATTCGGGGGGGGGGGGGCCCCCCCAAAAGCCGTCTCCGCGGAGAAGCCGGTTGTCGCGCGACCTCAGTCCCCCGCGCGGAGTCAGCGTCGTTCCAAGAACGTCGAACCTCCGCGCCACGCGCAAAGGGGGCGCGCGGTTCGGCCCAGCGTCATCTCCCGTTGGCAGCGGATCGGATTTTTTATTTGACGGCGGCGGCGGCGGCGGATGATGATGTGGAAAAAATAAATCTTCCCCGTCCACCACCCCGCCGCCAACCGCGTGTTTTGAGATTTCTACGAAAGCGGACGTCCGAGCCAAAAAAAATAAATACATATATATATAAAACATTTGGAAATAATCCGGGCGCATTCATTTTTTTTGTTATCTCGTCCCGACGGCTGCGAATAATTTTATAAATAATTGCCACGCGAATATGCGCACGTTTGCGCGTGCCTGCGTGCGCGCGCGAGCGCGTGTGCGCATCGCTGGCAGCTGACGGTTGCGTCCGTGCATACGAAACGAGTGTAGTTTTTCGCATGCTAATTTCTACGCAGAATTATCGCAGGCTTCCCCCCCCCCCAATCCCCCAACCAGCCCACAGCACCACCACCCTCCTGCCCCCCACCCACCACCCCACCGAACAAAACAAAACGTGGGACGCGGCAGCGGCGGTGGGGGAGAGAAGGGGGGGGGGGAGCGACAGAGCTCGGCGCGGGCGAGAAATCGGGGGAAAGGGAAATGAATGGATTCTTACGGGTGAAATACACCGCATGCAAATTAAGCGACGATGACAACGGCGGTGACGCCGAGGCTGCTGCTACCGCAGCCGCCGGCACCGCCGAGGCACGGCGGCCATTTGTAATTTCTGGAGGCATCCGCGGCCACGGAGACCCGACGGCTCGCGCGAGCTCTCCCGCTCCGCTTTCGTCCGAGGCTTGGCGATCGGATCCGCTGGGAAGACGATGGTGACGATCGTCGTCGTCGTCGTCATAGTCGTCGTCGTCGTCGTCGTCATCGTCATCGTCATCGTCATCATCATCGTAATCGTTCTCATCGTCATCATCATCATCATCGTGACCGTCGTCATCGTTTTCGTCATCGTCAGCTGGTTCCAATCGTTGGGGCTGGTTCGGTCCGAAGTAACGAATGCTTCTTTTCGTTCTCGGCTAATTTTCGAAAGCGAAAGCGACGCCTCCGTCTACCGAATTCAACAACGAGGGTAATTCACAGCACCGTGCCAATCCACCACGAGATGAAGAACTCACCTCTCCTCCCCCCCATAATACACGGGGTGAAGGGGGGTGGGGAGTCATTTGAGCATACTTCACCACGCTGATCACAGCAGCTTGGTGAAGTGTTGGAGGTGGGGGCCCAGGTCCTATCGCTTGGGAATTGCCGAGGTCTTCCATTCCTCGCCGAGAGGGCCGTGGATTGCCGAGGGGGCCGAGCGTCGCCACGAGCGGTTTGGCACCGCGTGACTGAAGGGACCATTTATTAAATTCGCTGAACCTCCCAGGCTGTGCGCTGCGATGTGCAAATGTGACAAACGACAGAGCTCCAGGAGGCGTCGTTTGCGGACACAGAGGAATTACTAACAACAGCAGCGAAAAAAAAAAAGTTCATCTTTTTTTTTTACCGTGATGTTCCAAAAAAATTGGGTAGTATCACTCGATGTAAATTAATGTGAAGATTTTTTTTTTTTTATCGCGGCGGTTGCATTTGCATTTAACGGGAGCGGACTTTCCTCGGGAAGGGACGCAGGAGGCGACGGTGGCAATTAGAGACCAATTAGCGCGCGGCAGCATTCGTCCGCGATAAATTGGCCTAAATTAAGCACGAGACGTTGCCTCCCGATTGGTCGGTGGGACGTGAGGCTTTTCATAAAAAAAAAAGTAACAATTTTTTTCAGCGCTGTCGTCTAATATTTCACCGACCGGCGATGCAAAAACGCTGGCGAAGAATTTTCTTCGCCGCTGCCGCCACCATCGAGGCCTTGACGGCTGCCACCATCTCCACGGGATTTAGAAACATTCAAGCAACGGAGCCTTATTTAGGCCACAGGGAGAGAAGGCGCGTACCCGCTTAACGAACAAAATGGTGACGTATTGTTAGACGATATTTAAAAGCGGCCGGTGCCTGGTTGATACAATACTATTAAGTCTCCCCACCCCCGCTTTGACGTAATTTCACAAATACGTCGTCACGTTACTATTATTAAAACTACCTCGGGGCGCTGCGGTGATGAAATGTTAACTCCCTCGCCTGGTATACAGGAGGTCGTGGGTTCGAGCCCGACCCTGATGCCTGTAAATTATCGCGTGGAATTTTCTCTGGGTAATCTGCTTTTTCCCTCCGCATTTAGAATCGACATCACGCGTTTAGAGTATTTGGCTGCTATAAATGTCCACACGATGATAAGCCACTTCGTTGAACTTTCATTTGTGGCCAGGTCATTTCTGAAAAAGAGCTATATTGCTCAATGGGCTTTAACTGGCAAAATAAAATATAATTTGCAGTTTGCTTGATGTACGTCGCCTCAACCCAAACTTGCGTCGCTGACAGCATCGTCCGTCATTTCTCGTTATCCGTCGCCTCTCAGCCTTCGCCTCCACCAACTAACCCTGGAAATCGCTTCCTTTGACGTTGCTTCGATGTTCGTCATCGCACCGTTCAGGAACGCGTCCCCCCCGACGTAAAGTATGCACGTTCAACTTCTTTTGCACCGTACGTAGCCAACCGTGCTCATCGAAGACTTTTATAAAAAGGCGGCCTTCCTCGAAAGTTTTCCACGAGTGGACAACTGCGTCGTAAAAAAAATGTACCGACGCAAAAAAAAAAAATTCCATTGCGCGGTTTGGTCGACGTCGAGACGAGGTTTTTGCGGATGTCACGATCGTCAAAACCCACGTTGAGATCCATTCCGCGACAAAACACAAGGCCGAAGGCCGGACAAACATTTTCCCTGCAAGTGCCGCGCGACCGTAACTCGCTATCCGGTTTACATTTTGATAAAAAGGAATATCGGTTATGTTTCATCGTCGCTCCGAGCCCATCCTCGATCCACCCGGAGAGTTTCGCCGCCGATTGGCAATAAAATTCGAGGCCGTTTTAATCTTTCCCGTTTTGCGCTGGAAAGTTCCCACGACCCTTGGCGGCGGCAGTGCGTGTATTATTGCAATTTACATCTTGCGATAACACGCAAAGATCTCCACCCCTCCCCCCCCGCGTCGACTATAACAGACTGTTGGGGCAAGTGCTGTTTGCGAGCCCCTATTAAGGCCGGCAAGGCGCACAAGAGGGTTGGTGGCCAGCGCTACGCTTGGACACCTTTGTCTCCCCCCAATGCCGATGTTCACACACCAGGTACTCGTCTAAGGCCGAGTCGACCAAGGGAAGGCCTAGGACCGGTTGGAAGATTTAATGCACAGCCTTCATAGACTGTTGGGGCAAGTGCTGCTAGCGAGTAGCACCCACGAAGGCCAGGACGGTGGGGGGGTTGGTGGCTAGCACCACCAAACGCCCGGCCGCCTTTGTCTCACCCCCAGTGCTGCTGTTTCACGCACAAACAACAACAACAACCGCCATTCGCCACTAAGTGGCGGTGACGTCACCACGACGCTTGTGCCAGGCCAAGTGCACCTTGAGGCCACGTGAAGTGTCGAACGCCCACTGGCAGGAGGTCACGGGGCAGACCCAGCAGGTGCCACGGATCGACTGACTGAGATGACCGAGATGACTGGCTGATGCACCACCTGTGCCCCCTACTGTACCAACTTGCTGTGCTTTAGCCAGCCGGCGCTTCGCTCGTTGTTGTGAGCGTCGCTCCTCCGCCCTCCGTTGTTGTTGGAGGGCGACTGCCTCCAACTGCCCAGTAGCGTCCTTCACGAGCCTCCTCCACAGAGGCCGATCTTGACACCGCTGGTACCAGTCATCGGCAAGTCCACTCAGCTCCAGGTCCTCCTGTACCACATCACTCCATCTCTTCTCTAGCCCGCACAAACCCCACACACACGTTCTAGATTTGAAGCTTTCGTGACTGCAATGATTCATATTGTTAGGTTTTTTCGGTAAAGTCACGTAGGTAAAAACATTAAAAAGTAAAATAAAATAAAAATCACGACGTTTCGGAGGCAACACAAGCTTCCGTCTTCAGGTGGTACCGTCACAGCCACGACAGCTGTATCAAGTAAATGAGAGATTGCAGGAGCTACCACTCACCCCCGCGGACCGCACGGCTACGCAAAACCGCGCCGCCCTGCCGCGTGGAACCCGAAGGACTCCGCAAGTTTCCCCGACGTCGTCATCTCCACCGCGCGAGCTCACGTCGGAAACGTCCGTGCTCGCAGAGCGGGGAGCGGTGGCACAGCGGTTGCGCCGAGTTCGATTCCCGACCGAGGGAAAACAACAACGGTGGCGGCTGGGGGGGGTGGTGGTGGTGGGAGTGATAACTGAACCAATTTGCCCTGGGCTTCACCTCGGTCTACTCGGCCTTAAGCGAGTACCCGGTGCGGCGGTTTTAGAGTCCAAGGCAGCCGGGCGCGGTGCTGGCCGCCGCCGCCACCACCACCCCTGCCGCCGTGCGCTGTGGCGGGCTCAATAGGTGCTCGCTAACTTCAGTTTACCCGACGCACGAGCTGCGTACGCGCGTTGCGTGAAGCGTTTGCCGAGACGCACTTCCAAGTTGGAACGGAAGGTGAAGATCGGTGCTGGGCAGGAGCAGTCGCATTTGCAAAAAATGTGATTCGTAACTTCGATCATTACCCGTGTAGAATCGCTGTAGTTGGATGTTAACGTGCCATGTGACTGGGGAG